GCTCTAACTACTAAGCTAATAATAATCCTTACATTTAATACAGTGCCTTTCAGGTTGGGAAGTTTCAAAGCACTTCACAGGATTTATTGGAAAGGATTATTTTGTTGAACACAGTACAGAATACATACTGCAAAATCTAATATTCACTCGATTGAATTATAGTACTTTTGCGTTTTCAGTTGTGTATCTTTGCAGCCAGTTCTTTCACTCCACAGGATATGATGATTGAGCTCTATAACTTAAGTGACCTCTATAACAATCTCTGCTTCTTTCATTCAGTTGAAGTGCTGATCTACTAACATTTATACCTACAGGAAATAGTTATTAGATTCATTACAGATAGGAGGTGACCTTGGTTTGTAGCCAAGACTTTAAAAGCTAACTGCTTACAATGAAGACTATTGTTTCAATCAATACAACAATACCAATCAATTTGTAATGTGCAGTGGGAAAACCAGGAAGTATTTCTTTTGCTAGTGGGTAATTCAAGACTGGAGCAGGCTACCAGAGAGGATAGTTGAGATCAAGATGCTGGACTGATTTAAAAAAAGTTCAATGCCTCTATGCTGTGATGGGTGGGTTGTAGGCTGGGTCATCTTGAAGGCTGAGAACAAGTGGGCTGAAGGACATTTTTCATCCAAAGCAATCTTGTGATATTTATTTCCTTGTGTTTCTCAATCATTGTATTCAGAACAAAGCACACTTGTAAGAAAAAGCATTGAACTAGTAAAAGTTTCAGAACAACTCCCTTTTGTTTCTTTATCCATTCCTGCATTCCCCACAGAAAGTAAACATTTAAATTATTTTACCTCTTCCACACGTTTAACCCTTAAGAAGCCTCAGATCTGTGGCATCTGGTTTATCTTCCTGGATTGGTCTATGAGGAGTGAATCTTGCATCAAATATACTTTTTCAAAACAGAAACACATGGTACTCAGTGCACATAAGCCCATTATCTAATGAATCAGCTGGAAAATTAGCATTTGCAGATGGTGGTCTTGGCTGAGGCTCTTCTTCTAATAATAATAATCCTTGCATTTGATACACATAGCAATGTCCCACAAACACCTGAAGTGAATAACTAATTTTATTAAGGCGATTGTTGCTCAGGACAGAGCCATGGGATCTTTAATCTCTACCCAAAACATTGGTTTAGCGTCTCATCTAAACAATGACAGACAATACAGGACTGTGGAGTCCTGTAGCTCAGTGGTTAGAGCACTCGCTTTGCAAGCGAGAGACCTGAGTTCAATTCCAGGCAGGGCGAAACCTTGGGCAAGTTTCCTTATTCCACACAAGAGCCTAATAATAATCCCTCCAAAACCAAAAAGAATAATAAATTGGTCATTTTCAATCTACGACTGTTTGTGGGACATTGCTGTGCGCAATTGGCTGCCGCGTTCGCCCACAAATATACAGTCAATTCACTTTACAGTGTGTTCTGTGAAATGCTTTGGGACATCCTCCCAACGTGAAAAGCGCTATATCAAATGCAAGGATTATTATTATTAATACAGCAACCTCCAGAACTGCAGTGCAGTGGCAGCATCGAGGGTAAGCTCAAAGTCCTGACGTAGGAGCTTGAACTCACAACCTTCTGACTCAGCGGTGAGCATTACTGATTGATCTTCATCTAGAGCTCCCTTGTAATCTTGTGAAATGTGAGTTGCTTATGTAAACTAGGTAAGTAACCCAATGTTTCTAGTCAAATTGATTCAATTACCAGATTTGAATTTTGTTACATCATATTTAAATGAGATACTGAACTATTTTAATTATTAGTCAAACCAAAATTAATACATTCCTAGAACCTCAGACAGAAGGATCCTATTGCCAGCTTAAAGGTTCAGTGATCGACAGATACTATAATACCTTTGATTTGTGAATTGGACAGGAGGTAAAAAAAACACCTATACAGAAAAAAAAGTAATTAGTGATTACGTAAATATAAAAAGTGATGTAGTGGAACCCAAGTACCAGTTATAATGAAACAGAATAGTCTGCAATTGATGTTTCTTCTTTCATATCCCTGAGCTCTGCTCTTTGCTCTTGAGCTTCTACCAGTTACAGAGCCAGAAGTCAGAATTGAACTTCTGTGTTTTCCTAGAAACTGGGTCATACTATGCGAAAAGGAAAATCCATCCTAACAAATTAATGCAGAAACTGCGCATTATACACATTGGTGATACACAAATATACTGTAAATCACAAAATCAAATTATATACTTAATCTCTGGAAATAAGGAATGCTTCATCCAGCACAATTCTGATGTAATTGCAGAATTCAATTAAGAGCAAACCAATTGCCATTTGTTTCCCTTCATTATATATAATTCCTAATCCTAGCAGAATACCGAAATACAAAATCCTGAGCCAAGTATAAAAGGTTCCCAATGATCTGGTACTTTATACTCAGCACACTAAATACATTCAATCCAGCTACATTAGACATTTTTGAAATCATTTCTGAGACTTTTTTAATATACTATATTTGTTTTAGTCAAAACTGAATTAGTTAAGACGACATGAGTGGCAAAAACTTTCAATTTAAAATATGACATCAGAAAGACCTTGGAACAAACAGTGCAAAAATTATTTTCAATGAGTGGAAATACAATCGGCCTGTCAGAAAACATCTCTTCAGGCTCCGCGACCATATCACACCCAACCTTGCCCAACTCCACTGGCTTCCCATCACATAGAGGATACAGTTCAAGATCCTGTTCCTCACCTTCGAAGCACCCCACGATCTTGCTCCCCCCTATCTCTCCGACCTCCTAACCCCCTACCACCCTGTTCGTTCCCTCCGCTCAGCGGGCTCCAGCCTGCTCTATATTCCCCGCCTCACCCGCCCCACTATTGGCGGGCGGGCCTTCCGCCAATCTGCCCCCACCCTCCGGAACTCCATCCCAGTCCCTCCGCCTCGCCCCCTTCCTTGTCACCTTCAAGACCCACCTCAAGACCCTCCCCTTCGACCATGATTTCGATCTCCCTGTTTCCCCCCTGCCCTCCACCTTCCCCCACCCCGACCCTCAGCTTGGGTCCATAACTCTGTCTGTCCAGCGCCTTGGGATGTCCTCCCGATGTGAAAGGCGCTTTACAAATGTAATTTTGTTGTTGTTTTATAAGCATGATTTCCTCATCATAAACTTATATTGCTGAGGACCATACATTTACCAATGTAATATATTAGATAATATATTATATAATAATATCATTATATTAGTATCTTAGCTAATATATCATTAGATAGTAATAATAGATAATATCTAATCTTATATATTATATGCCTTTTATAATCTAGGCATTATAAGAATTATTTTCAGAAGTGAAAAATTCAGTTATGATTAACTGACAATGCATTACAATAAGCAAGGCTTTACAAAAATGATTCCAGTGATCCAAATATCAGTTAACCATATAGTCTGAATAAACTAAATATCTGAACGTCTACATGGCAACCAGGCTAGATGGATTCTCAAAAAAANTGTTATTCAAAAAGAAGCAACAAAGAAACCTAGAAATTATAGACATCTGCCCAACCGCAGTTGATAAAAAGCTTGCCACATACTGCAGAATGCAATCAATCGTCACCTAAAGAGCAGACACTAGAATAAATAAATTTAGAATAGATCATTTCTCAATTTGGAATTATTTGATAAAAGTAATTAGTGTTGCTCATGAAAGTGAAAAAACAAAAAGATGCCTAGGTGACCACCTGGAACATCACCTCAAATATTACCAAACGTTTTATCTATGAACCTTGGTCAGTCTCAACCTCAAACAAACTGCCCAGGTTTTGACATTAGTTGGCAGTGATACGGTGCCAGCCCATAGAAAATTATTCTAGTGCTACATGAGCACCCTTCACAGGCTGCAGCAATGAAAATAGTTTTATTTTGCACATACTCAGTGCTGCAGCCAGCCTGAAAGGTTAATAATATTGACACGAGAAGAAGAAAAAACAGAAGTGTTCAATGACTGAACGTGGACATCCTTAGCTGATGACTATATCAATCCACAGCAAAGCTAACAACCAAAGTGAGCAAACAATCAACAGCAACTTTTTTTAAAAAACTGCTGGAATGGGTCAAATGTGAATGGCATGATAATTAGTTTTGAATGAATAAATAAAATTGGTCACTCACTGCATGGCTCTTTGTGGGACACTGCTGTGCACAATTGGCTGCCACAAAATTAAATGTGAGTATTATTATTATCATCATTTTAAACTCCAGCGAATACACTCCAGCAGCCAGGAAGCTCATGTACTTAATACACAAACATGGCTTTTTGAATGAAAAGAGGAAAATTCTTTATTGGCTGCCACATTAGTAGTACTTCGAGTATCTGTTCAATTTTTATTTTGAAGGGTGGAGAATACTAATTGCACAGCTACAGAATTGTTACAGCATTTTCTGTTTTATTACAGAGAAAGTGCTTTAGTCATTTGGATTGAAGAGCAGTTTAGTCAATAGCAGCCCCTTCAGGTATGAAGATGTGAGAAATCTAGTTTCAGCACTCGTTTTTAACTATCAGAATAATTTTTCAGACTTCTTTGGCAATAGTGTGGTGCAGTGGAAATGTAGTTAAATGCTAATACAATAGTTATGATACTTTAAATGGCTTTATTACTAGTTTCAATTCTATAGGGGCAGCGGACGGAAACTCAGCTGTGCACCGTGTCAACATATTAACAGCACATTAAGCAAGTATAACTACTGCCTCTGCTAAATGTTCTTGCAAGTTAAATGGTTAGAACTCAGCTGGAGCCATCTGCACACCAATATAGAACATTACAGGATGTGTGAAAACGTTTAATCATGTAATATACAAGCTATAAAAATCCCATTACCTTCTCCCTTAACTCGCAAAAAAATAAAAAAATAGATCTAAAAAAAAACTTTGGTGTGAGTGACCAGATACACATGGAAAACCATTTTAAATCACCCACTAAATGAAGTGCAAGTGGTTAAATACAGAAGCTTACCATCTTATTTGGGGTTATAAGTTACATTTTTATTTTCTAACAATCTAAGAAATTTGCAGCCATCAGTAGCTCCAGTGCAATCTCTGGTGCAATTGGAAATTCAGGAATCTCCGTAGAGCTGTTGGTGTAGCGAACCTTGTAGGTAAAATACATGCACACTTTAGATAGCACGTGGGATGGAATCTCACGGAAATTTACTTCATTGGTTTCATTTTCAGCAAACTGTCCTGTAAAAGAAAACATGTCACAAAGTTAAGACACAAATTATTTTCAGCTCCAAAGATTTTGTTAAATACTTATAGATTATGTTACTTGAAAGAGCAACAAAAAATTATTCAGTTTTGAAATGATTACCAATTTTATTGCAGAAACCTCTCCTCGCACTTTAGGATACTCTACGAGATCCCAATGTGAGGTTAAGCATTCAGATGGAACATCAGTCAATAACTTTGCCCCATTTCTTAATTCTTATCTGTTTAAACGTAGTTTCCTACATTTAATCAAAAGATATGAATAGGAAATATATTAAGACAGGAAGAAGAAGCCATTTAGGCTGTTGATCTAGGTTATTGGATGCTGGCAGACTTTTTGGCCCCAATGCCCACCCTTTCACAATATCCCTTAAAACCTGTACTATTCTGCCCCTCTCTCAAAATACAAAGGTTTAAGTAGTAAGTGCCACTGATTCATTCTCATCTGTTCGCATTATACAGAAATATTTGTTAATCAGAAAAGGGCAAACACTGCAACCCAGTTCTAGCCATGCTCCATCCCATTGCTGAACGGATTGATTTCAAAATCCTCACGCTCGTTTTCAAATCCCTTCCTGCCCTGGCACCTACCTACCTACCTCTCGAATCTGCTTACTACCTTACTGCCTCCACTCGACTGGCCTTCTGCATGTCCCTCGTACCTTCCATTCCACTATTAGCGGCTGCACTTTCAGCGTTCTACCCCCCAAAACTCTGGAACACTCTTCCTCTCTATCCCTCAGTCTTACCCCATCCTTCCCCATCTGCAGGTCGCGCTTGAAGACTTTCCTCATTGACGGTGCCTACGGTCACCTCCCCCTTCCCCCCGGTTCGTTGTCGTGCTCCACCACTTTCAAGGGCTCCGGGTCACTACCTTGTGTAAGTGGCGCTATATAAACCAAGTTGTTGTTGTTCACAATGCCATAGTTCGGTTAGAGAAGATGACAATAACCGTGATCATTGCAAAGCAGTTTCTATCTGGCTTATTGTCACAGCAATGGCAGATCCATTACCACAGTACTTGTTGCTGATGTTGTCCAAGCTTCAAACCTAGACTTAATAATAATCCTTGCATTTGATATAGCGCTTTTCACGTCTTATGGAGATGTCTCAAAGCGCTTCACAGAATAGACTATAAATGTGAATGGACTGTATTTGTGGGCAAAATACGGCAGTCAATTGTGCACAACAGTGTCACATAAACAGTCATGATTGAGTGATCAAATTATTAGTTTTTTTTCTTAAGGGATTATTATCAGGTGGGTGGAGTAAGGAAACTTGCCCAAGGTTACACCCTACGAGGAATCAAACCCAGGTCGCTTTCGAGGCGAGTGCTCTAACCACTGAGTTCCAATTGATCTGCAGTGTTTAGCAAATAATATTGCTCAGGAATCACAAGTAGATTTGGAATGCCCCGTCAACAATGTTTATTCTCCATTTATGGGGTTTTCACTGAGTAAATGGATAAAAATTGAAGGAAGCCCAAGAGCACAATTCTAAAGATGAGAAGGTATGGAAAAGACATTAAGTGACTCATACATGAAATTTGGTATATCAGCCAAGTAGATCCACTCTGCATTGTACCATATAACGGCATTGGTGTATAGTCACAAAATTTAACACAAATGAAGGCTACAAAAGAGATTGGCCATGGAGGGTGGGAGGGGGTGAGACAAATTGACAAGGATACATAATAAAAGCTTCACAACAAGCTATATGGTTCTTTTGTATAATAACCAATGTGCTAATAAATTAGTCCATCCAACTTACCAGGACCACTCAACATGGCTTTAATAGTACCAGAAGTCAATGCATGCTCCCTCTTTACAATAAATTCGTGGCCATCGGAGGAGATCAGCTTCACGTACATAGCATCAGGGCCTTCACAGCTTCCATAGCTCCGCTCTTCTCCATCTGGAATGGATTAATACAGTTTAATAAAACATATCTGTCTGACCACAACTTAAAAAAATAAATGATATATTGTAAACCAATGTTGAGATAACAAGGTTGTTAGCGCCTGAGGACGTTCCTTGAATTCCCTGTGATTCCAAGCCCTACCAGTGACTCAGGCTGGTTGCGTTGCCATGAGGAGTGCTCTGAAATACTGTCAGTTCAGCTCCAAGGAGAACCCACACACCTCCCCTCCAAGGAGGACAGTCACTAGTTGATCATTTGACATGTGAAAAGTAGTTTTGAGCCCTCACTAGTTGGACGCCAGGTTCCAGGAACTCCCTGTGGTTACGATCCTGGAGTCCAGTTAAATCTTTCCAGCAGCTGTCGCCCCGAGCCCCAGAGTTTCCTCATCAGCTAGACCGACCAGACATTCCTAAATAAAGATCTGCCGAAAGCATGATGGGAGTACCTTTACAGGAGAGCTTTTGATGTTCTAGAGGTCCAAATCCAATGCTGAGTACCAAGTTAACGCAGCATTAGTTGTTTAATCCAAGTCCTCACGCGAGGGGCTTTGGCCAACAGCTGTGCCCGCATGAAGACGAATCCTCTGGATATATGCTCAGAGGTAGGACTCCTTGCTTTGCAAAACTGTACTTTTTCATCACAGTACAGAGAACAATCAGGCACATCACTTCTCTCTCATCTCTTGTTCAGACCGGCTATTCTCCCCCCAAAAGACCTTCCCAGATAAATATTTTCAGAGAACTATTCATATCGAGCAAAAGACCTTTGAATATAACAAATAACTGTTTCAAGGAAGTTTCAAAGGACTCATTCAATTCTACAACAACAAAATTACATTTGTAAAGCGTCTTTCACATCGGGAGGACGTCCCAAGGCGCTGGACAGACAGAGTTACAGACCCGAGCTGTGAGTCAGGTAGGGTGGAGGGTAGGAGGGGAAGCAGGGAGATCGAAAGCACGGTCAAAGAGAAAGGTCTTGAGATGGGTCTTGAAGGTGGCAAGGGAGGGGGCGAGGAGGAGAGACTGGGGGGATGGAGTTCCAGAGGGTGGGGGCAGAGTGGCGGAAGCCCCAGGCACCAATGGGGGTGAGCGAGAAGGGGGACGTGAAGCAGGCTGGAGCCCGCTGAGTGGAGGGAGCGAGCAGAATGGTAGGGATTTAGGAGGTCGCAGAAGTAGGGCGTAGCAAGGCCTTGGAGGGCTTTGAACGTGAGGACCAGGATCTTGAACTGTATCCTCTGTGTGATGGGAAGCCAGTGGGGTCGGGAAAGGATGGGGGTGATAGGGTCTCGGAGCCTGGTGCGGGAGAGGACATGGGCTGCAGAGTTCTGAATGATCTGCAGCCTGTGGAGGGAGGAGTTGGGGAGACCAACAAGCAATGAGTTTGCATAGTCGAGCCTCAATCTAATGAAAGTACGTGTGAGGGTTTCGACGGCCTGCAGTGTGAGACAGTGGCTGTGCCGGGTGATGTTGGGGAGGTGGGGGAAGGCAGACCGGGTCATTGCGCAGAAGTGGGGTAGAAAGGATAGTTGAGGGTCAAACAAGACCCCAAGGTTCTGGACTCCTGCTTAGCAATTCTAGTTGTGAAGAAACTTGCGTTTTGTCCCAGAACAATGACCATGGAACATCTTAAACATTTTAGCATCTTAACAGGGATGGAATGTAAGAAATTTGGAAAACAATGCTTCTTAACCCTCTGCTAGATGTAACGTGATTCTGCTGTTGACGACACGCGACAATATTGTTTTTGACACACATTTACACACAGGATAGAAAGCTTTTCAATTTTTAAATATGTCACCTGGCATTAATACTTACCCATTATTCCTACAGTGGTGATCTACTGTTTCCCCCCCCCCCAATAAATTTTCTTCTGATGGGGTCCTGGGAGCTGGAAACAGAAGCAGATAAACATTAGTGAAGATATTCCAATAAAATGTGGGATTAATTCAAATTAATTCAAAAAGGTTGAGCAAGTTTCCTTACTCCACACACCTCTGTTACCTAGCAGTAAGTAGGAACCCAGTTGTTAGCCGATTGGCGAATCGCTTTTCCGGGGGTAATAATTCCTTCACAAAAAAAACAAAAAAATTGGTCAATCAATCCACGACTGTTTGTGGGACGCTGCTGTGCGCAATTGGCTGCCGAGTTTCACCCACAAATATACAGTCAATTCATTTTATTGTATATTCTGTGAAGCGCTTTGAAAAATCAAAGGAGGGAATACACAAACAGGTTCAGCCTAGGTCATAGAGGTGTAAAATAAACCTCTGATTGACCGAAATTTCCCAATTTACTTTAAACCAATTTAAATAGTAATTGGTAGTACCTGTTGTTGTGGAAGAACTCACTAGTCAAGTTACACCTATTTATAGGGACTTGCATTCATTAGTGAGAATTGAACACAGAGAACACCACTGTGAGGGAGAGCGAGCCGTATCATGGGTGTGCATATAAGGATGAAAGAACCGTCTCATAGTCTGTAACTCAACTCAACGTATAGAACTTGAAACAGGAACGGTCAATGTCAAAATGTCAACAGCATCTAAACAGCTGAAATAAATGATCAACTTCACCAACTTATTTTAGTCTGTTAAGATGTCTGAATAGTGTTCAAACAGGAATTGCAGACTACTACCTCAGGCAAAATGTTCAGTTTACTGACACTACAGCATTAGTATAGTCCAGTCATTAATAAATGCCACTGGTCAATTTTCAGTTGAACTGTACATTTTAACAGAGAAGGTAGCGATTTCCCCATTGGACCACACTTCAGAACAATATTGCTGATCCAAAACTACAGCATAACTAAAGCGGTGTTAAAACTGGAACAAATGCATGCCAAGCTTCTAGCTACAATTGTTTTACAGTGAACTGGTATAACTGACTCAAACAGAGGAACTCTACTTTTGGCACATTGAAGAATAAGTCTGCTAACAATTAGATTTGTGCCCTGGGTAAACCACCAGCGCGGCTGAAATGGATCACAGAGTGGAATTCTGTGAATTATAAAGGTACATAAACTCTAAATTTTGTGAAGTCTGACTTTATGTTCGAGGTGGTCTTCCAACCCACTTCCGTGAAACTAACAATACCTTAAGAACTATAGCGCAAAGTTGGTACAGATTCAAGAAACACTATGCTAAACCCATGTAAACTCTGCAGCATGTTAAAGCTCATTAAAGAGAGCACACCCAGAAAAACAGATTGCTATTTGTTAATTTGGCAAAGAGAAATCTCCACACGTCCATTCCACTGGCTGCCCAAAATTTACAGAGTATCAGACACAAAGTTAGAAGAAATCCACATCAAGAGGAACAGACAAGCAAGTAAAGTCATTGATAGAAGGTAATAATAATAAAAATCTTGGAGCTTCACGAATGGTTCAATTTAACTTAGTTTTAACACCTATGAAAGGTTTAAGCTTACAGAAACCTGGGTCTCCCCCAATGACCCCGTCCCCCTAGTTGAAGCCTCCCCTCCAGGATACACCTTCCACCACACTCCCCGTCCAAACCAACATGGCGGCGGAGTGGCCTTCTCCAAAGCTTCCCTTGGTCTTTCCCCCTAATCCTCTGGATGCTTCCCCTCTTTTGAGCACCTCACCCTCTTCCATCCCTCTCGCCCATTGAAGATCCTTCTGGTCTAACTGCCCCCCTAAGCCCCCTGGCTTCATCCTCTCTGACATCTCTACTCTCCTCTCTTCCCTGTCCCTCCGAACGCCTGCTCATAATGGGCGATTTCAATCTCCACCTAACTCCCTTTGCACCACATCTTCTGACTTCACTGCCCTCCTCTCCTCCCTAAACCTCACCCTTCATATAAATTCACCAACTCACAACTATGGCCATGCCCTCGACGTCTTCATCACCTACACCCTTGACATTTCCGACCTGAGCATAATGGACAAGGCCAACTTGGACCACTTCCTCATCTCCTTCTCCTCTCACATTCCTCTTTCCTCCACCAAGCCCTCAACCATACTCTATCGCCCATGAAAAAGGCTACCCCTGAGACCCTCACAAAGGTCCTCACATCCTCCGATATACTATCCCTCTGGCCTTCCACCCGCAGAGATCCTGAAGTGGCCGTCCAGCTGCTCCATGATCGCCTCTCCTTCATCTTCAACTCTCTCATCCCCCTGAAATCCAGGACCATCTTCAAACCAATCCGATCCCCCTTGTATAACAACCATCTCCACTGCCTAAAATCCCAAACCGGCTGCTCAAGCACAGATGGCAGAAAACTGGCCTTGACAATTCACCACCAACTGTGGCCCGAGCATCTCCACAGCTACCGCCGTTCTTTGACGCATGCAAAAACGGCCTTCTACTCCAACATCATCTTGGAGGCAAAAACCAATCCTAAAGTCCTTTTTTCCACCACCCACTGCCTCCTCTGTGCGCCCCCTCAGGCATCCTCAATCTTCACATCAAATGCCAAGTGAGAGAAGGTCATGGACTTCATTTCAACTAAAATAAATAATATCTGCCAGGCAGCCTCATCCTCCTGCCTTTTGTCACCCAAAACTACCCCCTCTCCGTCCCTCTCACCCTCTCCACCATCAGCTCCTACCATGACCCCCATCCTACATTCCTTCCTCCCCATCTCTCCTTCCTCCTTCTCACCCACCATCACTTCGATGAAACCCACCACCTGCTGCCTTGACCCTCTCCCCACTAACTTGCTGGTCACCCAGCTTCCCCTCCTCTGCCCATCACTGACTGATGTCATCAATCAGTCCCTCTGCTCTGGATCAATCCCTGCCCCCCCTCAAAACTGCTGTCATTATCCCCCTCCTCAAAAAACCTTGCCTAGATCCCTCAAACCCCAGCCACTACCACCCTATTTCAAACCTGCCCTTCCTTGCCAAAGTCCTAAAACGCGTTGTTGCCAATCAACTCTGCGCACACCTCTCCTCCCACTCCCTCTTCGAACCCCTCCAGTCCAGCTTCCGCCCTGCTCACAGTACAGAAACTGCGCTTGTGAAAGTTTCAAACGACATCTTCTCTATCTGTGACCAGGGCTCCCTCTGCATCCTTGTCCTCCTGGACCTCTCCGCCGCTTTTGACACAGCCGATCACGCCATCCTCCTCCACCGCCTTTCCTCCGTCACCCACCTCAGTGGGACCGCACTTGCCTGGCTCGAGTCCTACCTCACAAACTGCCCAGCAGTACATCTCCACAAACGGCTTTTCCTCCCACTTTCACCCAGTTACATGCAGGGTACCCTAAGGATTCATCCTTGGCCCCCTCCTCTTCCTAATCTATATACTCCCTCTTGGGGATGTCATCCGCAGACATGAGGTACACTTCCACATGTATGCGGACGACACCCAACTCTATTTTTCCACCTCACTTTGTGACCCCCAGTCCCCTGATGTTCTGTCAGCCTGCCTGTCAGACATTAGGAGCTGGATGAGCACAAATTTCCTTCAGCTAAATGTTGACAATACGGAAGCCATACTCTTTGGCTCTCGTCAAAGTCTTCAATCGCACGGTTCTCACGTCCTCCACCAACCCAACCTCCCCCTAAAACTAGGTTAAAGCTCTCCGAATCCCTATGCAACCTAAGAGTCAGGTTCGACCCCCAATTATCCTTCCTCCCCCACATCCGGTCCCTCACCAGCACCGCTTTCTTCCACTTCCGACGCATCTCTCGTCTCCGCCAATATCTCACCCCAAAAGCTGCCGAAACCCTGGTCCATGCCTTCGTCACCTCTCGGCTGGACTATTCAAATGCTCTCCTCGCCGGTCTCCCCTCCACTACCATTCACAAAATCCAGGTCATCCAGAATTCTGCCGCCCGCATTCTTACCTGTACCAAACTCGCCTCCCCGATTACCCCAGTCCTTGCCAGACTGCACTGGCTGCCTATCCCAGAAAGGAATCGATTACAAGATCCTCACTCTTGTTTTCAAATCCCTCCACTCCTCTGCACCCCCCTACCTCTCTGACCTCCTCTCTCCTCACGACAGTGCCCGATGCCTTTGCTCCACCAGGTCTGGTCTCCTCCTCGTCCCCCGATTCCTCTGCTCCATCATCAGCAGCCATGTCTTCAGCCACTACACCCCGAGGTTCTGGAGCTCCCTTTCTCACTCCCTTCGCCTCGCCCTCTCTCTTCCTATTTTCAGGTCTCGGCTAAAGACCTTTCTTTTCAACCGCGCCTTTGGTCAACTTCTTCCCCCTCCCCCTGGCTCGGCCCCGGGATCCGTTATTGTGAAGCTCTCTGAGACGCTGTCCAGCATGGAGGGTGCTATATAAATCCAAGTTGTTGTTGTTATGATCAACTTCACAAACCTGTTCGCCAACTAGGGGTACTACAATTCGCGCAAGTGCCATTTCATAAGGTTCACTACCAAATCTCTAGGTTGATAACCGACATGGTAAAATCGGAACCTGGAGCTCTGCTGTAAATCGCTCACCCAGAAAAAGCTAACAAGTTGTTATAATTAACTAAATAGGAACATCTTGCAAATGAAGTACACCAATCAGTGATCCAAGATTATTGTACAATATACTACGCACACCACTAAAGAAATCACTACCATGTTAGTTTAGCTTTTCTCCAAGCAAAACATTCCATTCGGTGTCCAAATTCTACAACAAAAAGATCCAGCGATCTTACAGATCTCAATAAGCAATAAACTAAACATCCAATATTTCTGTGTACTTTAAGACACTCAAAATATTTAGAAAATACCAACTTGTATACAAATTATTATGTCCGAGTATCCAAAACACAGAAAATAACAATGTTAATTCAATAACATTCAAACTTTGGTGAGGAAAAAAAGTATTCATACTGACAGCAAAAAATTGCATGGGTATGGGGAAAGAGTGGAGGAGTGGGAATGCTTGGGGCTTTTCCAAAGAACTGGCGCAGGCACATTGGGCCGAATGTTCTCTTTCTTTGCTGTAATATTCTATGATTCTATTCGAATTAGTCTAAAAGTTCAATAAGCCAGGAGTACACACCCTTCATAAAATGACGTGATCCTATGGCAGAGAAACCAATGTCACTTAGTCACTGTGCCACTGTAATAGAGCAGCAAAAAGTTCCCCCAAC